GGTACAAACTTCCAGTTACAAGATGAATGAGTCCTGAGAATCTGATGTATAACACAGCAATTATAATCAGTAACACTGTATTGGGGGCACCTGGCTGACTTGGTTGGTAGAGCATGTGACTCTTGATCTCAGGGTCATGAGTTTGAGCCCCACATTGGGGGTGGAGTTTACTTAAAAATATAATAACAATAATAATAATACTATATTGTATACTAGAAATTTCTGAAAGAATAGATCTTAAGTGTTGTCACACACACAGGTAACTCTGTCAGATTTTAAATTTCTTAATTAGCTTGATTGGAAAAATCATTTCACAATATACCACAATGTACAGTACAGGTATATCCCCCACCCTCTCTTTCTCTCGCTCTCAAAATAAATAAATAAACTTAAAAAAAAAAAAGAATAAAATTTGATTGGGACGCCTGGGTGACTCGGTTTTAAGCATCTGACTCTAGGTTTTGGTGCAGGCCAAGATGATGCACCTCTGAGGGTTTGAGCCCCAAATTGGTCTCTGCCCTCACCCTCTCCTTCTCTCTCTGCTTCCCCGCACTTACGCTGTGTATCTCTCAAAATAAATTTAAAAACTTAAAAAATTATTTAAAGAAAAGAATAAAATTCGAAGACAGAGCTGGGAAGGGGCAGAAAGAGAAAGGGAGAGAGAATCTGTGCTATGAGCACAGGGCCCAACTCAGGGCTTAATCTCATGAACCGTGAGATCACAACCTGAGCCAAAACCAAGAGTCAGACACTTAACCAACTGAGCCACCCAGGTGCCCCCATTTCCAACCAAATTTTATTCTATTTGTTATCATCTATTGGTATCTGTAATATATTTATATTGCCTTTGTTGATTGTTTACAAATGATAATTTATAATGTAACTCAATCCAGAATAATTTTTTTTAACATTTATTTTTGAGACAGAGAGCAACAGAGAAGGAGCAGGGGAAGGGCTGAGAGAGAGGGAAACACAGAATCTGAACCAGGCTCCAGGCTGTAAGCTGTCAGCACAGAGCCCAACGCGGGGCTTGAACTCGTGAACCATGAGATCATGACCTGAGCTGAGGTCGGACGCTTAACCGACTGAGACACCGAGGCGCCCCCAGAATAATTTTTTTAAGTAGGCTTTATCCCCAGTGGGGGACTTAAACTTATGACCTGGAGATCATGACTTGCATACTTTACCCACTGAGCCAACCAGGTGCCCCCAGAGTACTTTTTAAAAATAGAGTCCCTTAGTCACAAGAAATTTAAATTAAAAAAATTTTAATTTAGAAACATAATTTTATCACAAAGAAGTATAAGAAGATACTCAATTAAAAAAAACTTTCAGGGGGCCTGGGTGGCTCAGTCGGTTAAGTGTCCATTTCAGCTCAGGTTATGATCTCACAGCTCATGAGTTCGAGCCCCACATCAGGTTCTCTGTTGTCAATGCAGAGCCCACTTGGGGTCCTCTGTTCCCTCTCTTTCTGCCCCTTCTCCGAGCATGCTCTCTCTCTCTCAAAAAAAATTTTTAATTTCAAGCATGACTGAAGAATGGATGAAAACATGGTGAACACACACAGACACACACACAGACACATGCACACACACAGACACACACAGACACACACATACATGCACACTGGAATATTACCCATCAAAAAGAGTGAAATCGTGGTGTGTCTAGGTGGCTCAGTCGGTTAAGCTTCTGAGTCTTGATTCCAGCTCAGGTCATGATCTCATGGTTGGTGAGTTTAAGCCACACGTCAGGCTCTGCGCTGACAGCTTGGACCCTGCTTGGGATTCTCTCTCTGCCCTTTCCCTGTGCACTCTCTCTCTCTCTCTCATAAATAAATAAGTATTTTTAAAAAAGAATAAATCTTGTCATCTGCAACAACATAAGTCAGAGAAAGACAAATACCATATGATTTCACTCTTATGTGGAATTTAAGAAACAAAACAGGTGAATGTAGGGAAAGAGAAAAGAAGAAAGAGAGGGAAGCAAACCATAAGAGACTCTTTTTTTTTAATGTTTATTTATTTTTGAGAGTGAGAGACAAAGCACGAGCAGGGAAAGAGAGAGAGAATCCCAGGCAGCCTCCTTGCTGTAAACACAAAGCCCAATACAGGGTTCGATCAGTGAAGTGAGATCATGACCAGATCCAAAATCAAGAATCAGACACTTATGGGAATACCAGCTGGTGCAGCCACTCTAGAAAACAGTATAAAGTTTCCTGAAAAAGCTAAAAATAGAACTACCCCTACGACCCAGCAATTGCACTAGTAGATATTTATCCAAGGGATACAGGTGGGCTGTTTTGAAGGGACACAT